TATATTTCATAATTAAGTGAGCATTATAAGTCGTGCACTTTTTGATTTTCCAAACTTTTTATTTTTATTATAAGTGTCGCGGGGAGATTTTGTCTTGGGGTGATTTTGTCGCGGGGAGATTTTAGGGGGGAGATTTTGTCGTGTCACCGAAAATTTTTGCTGTGCCTATTGCCATATCGACGGTCTAATTAGCAATTTGTCTAACTCCTTATTTTTTGGAGGGTGATTTTTTAACATTTTGATGTAGCAATAGTCCTGTTATAAATTATTTGAATGATTTAAACCAAAATATCATACCTTTATTCGATATTAATGATATTAAATAGTTTTTTAAAGTGATAATAAATTTTGAACTAATTGATTTTTTTTTTGTACAAGTGGAAGATTCTCTAAAATGGAGTTAGACAATTTGCTAATTAGAATGTCGATATATTTTATTAGTACAAATACTGCTCCCGGAGTGTTCAACTACTGCAGCTTGTCAGAATTGATTTTGAACTAATTTAAACTAATAATTACATCTTTATATATAGTAAAAGTAAGGTCAAATACGTTTTACCTTAATTTCTGTAAATTTGATTTCTAGGCAGGAGATAATATTGACAACAGTGAATCTACAGCTTCAAAACGGGAAAATCTCCCACAGAAAATGATCTCTGGCCCGACAAATAAAAGAGGAAAGGGAAGAATGGGTAACCGTACCCACAACGCTAACTCATCAAGCATCCAACCACTTTCTGAGCAAAATCCACCAGCTTCAAACTTTAAAAACTAGTGTACAAAAATTTTTATCTATATAATAATATAATATCTTCCAGTAATTTCTTTTTACGAATTACTATTATTAATATTAATTAATATATCATTTTTCATGGCGTACTCTAAAAGTTAGCTTAAATATAACGGTTGTTGTTTTTTCTGGCACCTATTATATTAATATAAAATACTTTTGACTAAATGTAAACACACTAGTAATACGATTGATAATAATATAATAATAATAATAATAATTAACGATACTATTGATAATAAAATATCCTTCAACTATCTAAATTTTGCTATTGTTTAAAATCAAGTCACGCTAACAATTATTTAAATTAGTATAGTGTAATAATAATGATATAGTGGTACTGAGCAATGAATAGTAATGAACCTTGACACGAATTTACCCCTTTAAAGATTTTTAATAAAGTCACGCAAACAATATTTAATATTTTACATTTGGAAAATTCATCAACTACAGTCAATAATTATTTTATTTTTTCTTCAGTTCTTTTTTAGCATTTTCTATCCTCCTTTGAAATTCACCGGTGTATTCCTTCATTACACTCGCCAATTCAGAAGCGAATTTTTTTGGATCCGAGGGTATTTTGTAAGTCCCACTAGTACTTCGATTTATAATGTACACTACAAATTGTGCAGCCTTTCTCATTGGTCTAGAGTCTGCTATTTTTTGAACCAACTGTTCGTTGCTCATTAAGTATCTTATTATAAAACGTAACATTTTGAGTTATAAATTAATTTTAAAATTATAAACAATTGTTATTTAGGTAATCTTATGGTCACACTGTATAAAGTTTAATTTTTAGGAATTTCAAACGAGCACATGTTACGATATTTGTACAAGAGTTCTCGCTTTAGGCGTAATTGCTTTCTCAGAGTCTCTAATTTTTTAAGTTGCTCTTCCTTGCTGTACTCGATTCCAGGAAGGCGTTTTATCTGTGGAATAAAAATAAATTTCATTACTAATAATCATAAAAGCACCAGACATCTGACAATTTCTTACGGAACTAAAAATAACAGACGACCGACAATTGTTTAGTTCTTTAAAAAAATAACTACTAGAAGTTTTATGTCCTCTAATACTTTCAATTTTTTCTACAGTTGAAAAATTTGATACTGAATTTAATAGACATCTAATAATTTTTTAGATTTATATAATAATTAAATTATAATTTAAAAAATTTACCAAAAAGTCCACATTTATAAATTTTAAGGGAAACACCACTGTGACGGTCGAAAAAAAAGGTGATTTTCGGGAATTTTTTTGACAGGGAAAATAAAGGAATTTGGGAATCGAATTTTCTTATTTTATTAAGGGCACATTAAAGATTATTACCCTAAATTTTTATTAAAAAATGTTTAATTATTAAAAAGTTTTTAACATTCTCGTAGAACACTAGAAAAAATTTCCCCCTCCATGGTCGCATTGATAACTCAAAAACGAATCATCTAAAAATAAAAATCCAAATTGCTTTTCAATCAGTAAGGATGTAGTTATTTTTACACGTATGGAATTTTAAAGATTTTTTTAGCTGGGTTAAAACACAAAAAAAAAACAGTAAAAATAATGAGAAAATTTTCAATCAATCGCCATTTTTTTTTTAAATGA